TAATGACCTCGTGGCTGTGGATGACAGGTAGACTATTGAACTCTTTTGTTCATTCTTGGTATCAGGGTGCCTTGACTGCCTGATCATTCCCACCCAATCCCGCAACAAGAGCAGGATCTGGATTCCCACCCCCCCTCCCCCCTTCCGCCCGAGAGACGCGATGGTCACTCGCGTCTCTCGGTCACGCCCAGGTCACAGCCCGATCGACCTGGCGGGCGGCTGCGCCAGGAGACCCCGTCGTCGATGCGACGCCTCCGCGCGGGGACCAGGCACGGAGCCCGGGTCCAAGGCCCTTTCACCCTTGGACGTCCAGTGAGGTGGGGGGATCTTGGTGGTGCAATTGGACTTGCGGGGAATGGGCCCAAGTGACAGTGATGGCTGTACCGTTCGAGTGTGATCATTGGGGGATGCGGTGCTAAACAATTATTCCAGGGGGTACGTCGATGGGTGGAATCATTTAATGTAGAAGCATTTATTTGGAAGCATTTATTGTCAGGGGGGTTCATAAGGGGTGTCAAGTCAACCCCCTACCAGAATCATTTTTGAGGTGGTGTGAACGATGTACCAGAATCATTTTGCACTGTCATTTTTGAATTCGCCTGAGTCTCAAGCATACAGATTTCTAATGATTTCTACCACTGAAATGGAGAGTCCATCAAATACAGAGAACAATACAAATAAGGACGCAGAGACAACAGACAGCAGCCAAGGAGATCCAAGGATAAAAGAAGAGATAACATGGGTCTGAGTTTCATTTGCTTTTGCTTTTGTTTTTTTAGTTTGATATCAGTTATCGTTCTTTTTTCCAGGGGGGTGCAGACTTCAGATGTCAGGAAATGATTCTGACCGTGGATGACGGTCAGAATCAATATCACCAACCCCCCTCACCCCCCCCCAGAATCATTTAAAAAGATTCCTGGCGGTCTTGACGTGGCCCCCTTTTATCGCATCCCCCATCAAACTTAGGTTAAACATGGTTAGACACGGATGGTGGCATCATGCTGCTGCTCAGCATGAGATCAGAACTTGGTTCAATCTTAGGTTTAAAGCTGATTCCTTGGATGACCAGCTACCATCAGGCTCTTCTGGACCTTCTCGCAAGAGAGGGCGCAAGTGAGTGTCCACAAGACCTTTGGCTAGCATTGTATCAGGAAGCCTTTGGCAAAGAAATGTAGACTCTTGATAATCAATCAATCAATCAATCAAGAGTCTACATGCATATGATATGAATATGTTTCCAGATCCTAAACTTTTTGGAGGGACCCAAGGTGAGCTTCAAGGTGCGTATGATCTCCCAAGAAACCAGGCGGGCCAGTAGCTAGCATGCAACCCCCAGCCCCTCATGTGGCAGGAGTGTGGCTATGTCTGAGAGCCTGGGAGCTTGGCAATGGTGCCAACTATGCCAGGGGAAAGTGTGACAAATTGAACTTCATGGTACATATGAAGATAATTGAAGAGTGCTGGTAATCTCACATCTCAATTGAGGCCAGATGGCCAAAATGTATAATGATTCGTACACTTTGGACTTTGGATATATGAACATGTCACATGTCCTTTGTAAGGCCGTGTGCCGTGTGTGGTTATTCCTGATTTGGCTCAGTCCCGGGGGAATCCTGTTTCGGCACACAGCACGACACCGGTTTCAGCACTCAGCACGCTATGGCAGAAAGATGCAGAAATTAGTTCGGGTCAACGGGTCAACCCTGCATGTGATGGTTTCGTGATGGGTTTGCTATGTCGTAGCGATGAAATTGTCAACTTTGCATGGCCATTTCAGTTTGGAGTTGTGTGGGTTGTTGTCGTCGCTTAGATGACCTGGACAAGAAAGGGTACATAATTCATCATGCTTAGCCTGGCTGATTAGCTGCAAACAAAACACATATTTGTAGTAGTTGATGCCCACCAAGAACCATCAATGAAACACCTTCCCCCCAACAAAATGCACGTCAACATCATGATCCGTACTTCACCCGATCCAAGTCGAGAGAGAGAGAGGCTGCAATCTCATTGAGATTGTCATCCTGGCCCTTTGCGCTTTTGCGCGGGGTCCCAGAGGGAAGAAGAAATCAGCCAACCATCCGCGAACACCGCAACCGGAACTGCCATGCGAGGGAGGATTCGGGATCGAGGAAAGAGATATGAAAAGAGGAAAACATTGAGAACATCGAAGGAGAACATCGAGTGCCTCAGAAAAGTTCTCGAAAAGAACACGTCCCCGTGTGTGAACTTCACGTGCATCATGCTCATCCTTCGAGCACCATGGATCATCTATGGACGTTCGCCTGGCCCGTGTGCTTGGGATCGGATCCCCAAAGGGGTGGCGAAGAACGTTGAATGGAAGTGACACGTGTCTTCAACATCGATTGGAAATACCTGCAGTCTTCGACCCAGGCGGTTGAGAGCTTGTCCTCAAGTGGATTGGCTCAAGGTCGGCAATCTTACTCGATCCTTCGGCAAGAAGCACACCAGGTCCAGCAGGGGTCAGGCTGCTCCCTGATCAGCCTGAGCTCCACCTGCATATGATCGGCCATCAGCCTGATCTTTTCCAAAACATGGCCATTGCCATTGCTCCATGTTTTTGGGTTATGGGCCAGTTTCATCTGACTTCACATGTTGTTTTGCCCGCACCAGGTGTTCTTGCTCACCTCCTTTGTGATGGCCGCCTTTCTTTCGCCCGGTGCCACGGATGACACTGTGGATGACACTTGGGGGGCCAGGAGATGTGGCCAGGAATAGCATTGCAAAAAAAACCTGACTGTATAACCTGACTGGACTGGACCTGACTGGATGGACGCATGCCGATGTATTGTTTTTTCCCTCTCACCTGACTGCCAAGTTCCTGAACTGACTGACATTGGGGTACCAGTTCTTGGACTTTGGAGGCGATGTCAACGCCCGAGTCGGACGACTAGTCGGACGGCTCGTCGGACTAGTCGCCACGGCCCATGTGTTGCGTCGGAACGAAGGCCGACTTGGCCAGGGCTTTGTGGGCTCTGGGTGAGATCATGCGACCAGGTCGAGAATCACATCATGAGATCCCTGCATTCCCTTAAACCTCCAGACGGAGAAAACCAAAAAACAAGAATGTCGGGAAAACCCTTCACCATCTATCAAGATCTTCAACTCCCCTAATGTTCTCCAACTCAGATCAATTCCTCAGCACATCGTCGTTGAAGGAGAAGCCGGTGATGAAGGAGAGTCTCTCTCCAAAAAGATTGCTTTTCCATGATTGTCCTCTCTCTCTCTCTCTCTCTTCCCCCTCCACCTCCCCCATCTTCTCCACTGAAAACATGTTTTTTAAACAGCTTTTCCACTCTCTTTCACCTCATCTTGAGTTGGAACACCTCAGGCAGCAGCAGGTGAACCTCCGCGGCCTCTGGGAGATGATCGCCCTGACGCTGTGGGCCTTCTGAGGGCGGCTCGCCGGTGACGGAGACTCGTTGAGTAATATGTGTTATTGGGAACTTGTAAAGCAAAAGGATCTCCAAGGTCTATGGATTCTACCTCTTCACGCCTGGGGGCTTTATATTGAATCAAGAGTCTACATTTACATTATACAGCTGCCAAGCTGCGAGAGTTCCGGCCTTGGAAAACGGGTGTTCCGGATTGGAGGCCACACAGCCCAAATGAGATGCTTATGGGGGTCAACACCTTGTTTCAAACAAAAAACATGGTTCTCCTCCTCTTCTGATGCCTGTGAGTGCTTTCTGGTCTCATGCCCTGGCCGTGTTAGTTCAGGCGTCCCGCGCTCATGATTTGATGTGATCATCGTTTCACCGTCGGGTGCGACCACATCAAGCGACAACCGAACATCAACCAGACACCAGGTTGTAGTGGAGACTCTTGATTTAGAAAGACCACCGGACATAGGATTGCAAATCTCTTCATATTGGGGAGGGGTTACGCCCCAGTTTGGTTGGCCACCTAGAAGTGGAGAAGCCTGTGAAGAACTAGAGGCCCTAGACTCCTGCCCTGGACCTCCAGAACACGGGCACCCAGAAGTTAAGTTGAAGACTTCAAGATGTAGATAGAAAAGTAATGAAAAGTAAATCCCTTTCAATACGTATTGGACGCCGTTTCTATTTATTCGGGGATCACTATGTTGTAGTTGAAGTGTACTCGCAGGTGGTGCACCTCGTAACGCCCGATGCCAGTAGTGTCCACATGATTTGTCGGGTGTGTTTGATGGACGGAAGTGTATAACCTTTTGAGTTGAATATTGTATCCTGTTTCAAACAACAGGGATGGTACTGGCAGCAAATTTCCTTAGGATTTTGCGGAGGGGCAATTTAATTCCGCAGAGAGGGGGTACAGGAAAGGTCGACAAGGAAGGTGCAGTATGTAGGAGCATTTTTCACCAAAGTCGATCACCACCTTTTCCTGCCACCAACTCGCGGGCATTGAAAAGGATCGTGTCTATGCGCCACCTTCCCTGGCAAGAGAAGGAATCCTGTCGAAGAGGATGTCCAAAGTAGTACCCGGTACCCACCCTGTGCAGAAGTACCAGCTTTTGGTGCAGCTGTTTGCCTAAATTTGGCAAATGTCCATGCATTGGCCTTTTGAGCGAATCCATGGCAACCAATTGTCAGCGTAGTTTGTTCCTGAAGTGATGAACAAGCAGGATGATTTGATGTAGAGGATGTTCCATGTTTGGCACATCAATGTTGTGTTTCTTCTTCAGAGTCTTACACCTCCGCGTCAACGAAGCGCAGGGGGGTTCACCAGTCACCAGGCTCACCGTTTGTTCTATATTGTCGAGGCCGTCGATCGAATACGACCGCTCCTTGGTCTCCAGCACAGCCAGCATAGAAAGATGCATGGGTGCATGTTTGGATGAACCAGTGACAAAACCAGTCACAGGCAAGAGCTCTTGTTCCGGTACCCTACCGGGAGCAGATGGCGCAGCCTCCAAGAGGGTAAGGGCCCCTTTAGGGCCCTATTGCATGCAACTAGAATTGTAAGCACGGCCATTCAGCATGGCAAGACACCTGCAAAAAACCTACCAACACTTGCAAATGTTTGACTCCTGACCACAGACTTGAGCGTGAAGTTGGAGAACCTGTGGGAAATATATACGTGTTTTCCTGCTGAAGCCCTTCCAAGTCCCGGGCATTCTTCGGCCTGACAGATGTTCCTGAGCAGCGTGGGTGTGGCTGCCTTTTCGGATGGGCGGATGATGGAGGGGCAGGCCGGGGGCCAGGGGAATCGAATCAATGTTTTCAATTGATATTACATACATATGTTACTAGTGCTTGGGCCTTTGCTCACCTTAGCCAAAGGCCAATCTCCTGGAGAGGGCGATGGAAAAAATACAGTAGTAATGATGTCATATGTCCTCCGCCGTGAGGCCGAGAATTCTGCTCCTTTGACCAATCATCATATTCTCAGGGGCCGAAGGACTTCGCTTCTCTTTTTCCTTCATTCCTCAATGCATTGCAACATGTTGCAACACATGGGGGGCTCCTGATCGTGTAAAGCAAGAACTGCCCGATCGCGTCCAGACCGGCCCAAAGGTGCCCGCGCGAAAATTCCTAGATTAATCTTTGAATATCTTTGATGAGATGGCTATAGTGGCCTGAGTAAATCTGTAGAAAGGGGCTTCATTTGGAGGGTTAAGTTCTATCAGTTCTATCTATCTATTTTCTGGGCCTCTATTGATCAAGTCACCTCGCCCATGCGTGTTGAATAGCCCAAGAAACCTTGGGTCTCGGTCTCGTCCATTTTATGTTGAAATACGACAGCAAGATGGACCAGCTGTTGTGGCTACAAGTCGGAGGCAAGGGAAACGATGGGCCGATAGACCACCCTCCTACCCACCCCGAAGTACCTCAACGTTTGGCCAACTCGCCAGCACCCTCTTGCCTAAGTGGCCAAACTCCCAACCGGGCTTTTGAAGATGATTCTATAGCTATGGGCCATCAAGGTGCGATCTCGTCACCATAAACGTTTTGGGTCAGATGCTTTTTACAGCATAAACGGCCCAGGGTGCCTCTGGAGACATGACATGCTCAGATGTGATCCAGGGTGCTCCATGGTGGTTCGATCATGTGCTGGGTGTTAGGGCTGATGTTGGGGCCTGGTTCCAGTGCCACCATGCTTTAAGGTAGATCTTTGGATGAATCAATCCCCAGAATTGGGCTTTGTAACACCTCGGCCTGGGATGTTCGAACTGCATGCAAGCGATCAAGCTTGCGTTCTTTTTCCCAGGATCCCGACACTTCCTGGCCTCTTCCCATCACCCGGTCCCCCCGGTCCGGTGGGGACCGGTCGAACCTGACCCGATGGAGTGGTGTCAGGTCTGTCAGGTCGGGTTGACCCGTGTCGGGTGTACAGGGTCGTTAGCCCATGGTTGGAGAAGGTGAAACGAAGACATACTCAGTAACAGTTCAGAAGACGAGATTTTAGCTGGTGGGAAGCGTGGTTGGCACTTGTTTGGCATTGGGTGGGAGGGCCAAACAGCGACCGATGTCATGGTTGTGCAGCTTGGCCGGCCACAGTCCAGCTCCGTACAGATCCTGTAGGCTCCAACTAAGCGCGCCGGTGAGGAGCTCCAGTCAGTGAGCAAGTTGGAGGAGCAACTCCAACAAGCTCGGCAACGGTCCAAAGAGCTCAGGCCAGCGGCGACCACCTTTCAAAACGTCCATCCGACGTTCTATGGGCATCAGAGAGAGGGGGCGAGGTTTGTCTCCGGCAGGGAAGTCACCACTGCAGTATGAAAGGCCAATCTCCTATACAGGTGCTTTTTAATGAATTGGCGGGACCTCCTTCAATGCATTCTAGCAAACGGCGCAAGTAGCCGCCCTTTTGCTCTTCCTTGTCCTTTTCTTCTTTCCTTTTTTAGTTATTTCGCTTCTACTTAATCTTCCTCTTCCCCTTCCTCCACGCACAAAGCAGAAACACAAAATGCGCATAATGCGTGTCCACTCGCGCAGCATATCTCGCACCACTGGCGTTTGAAAAGCGGCCGTGAAACCAAACACATATCAAAAAAGCAATCGTGTGATTGATCCTTATGCCCAAGCAATCAAGCCACATATGTTTTGATGGGTGGTTGACACCAAGGGGCAGCCCACCCGAAAGTTAACATGGGGATCCCAGAAGACTGGCCAGCCGGTGGGGTTCCCAAAAGCAATCCCTCCCAAAAACCTTTGTAATGCAGGGACGCTCGTTGAAATATTGCAATTATCATTGAATAGCATTGAATTAAGTGGAACACCACTAGTTTGTCGAAGAACATGTTCATCCTTAATGGCCCCATAAGGATGAACATGTTCCTCAACAAACAGGTGGTTTTCCCATGTCATCCCATGGTTCTTTCAGGGAGTGTAGCAGGCCTTGATGGATGGCGCTGCTTGCGCGCGCAGGCAGCAGTTGCGGTTGGAACTCGAAGCGGCAAGCGAACTTGAAAAACGACTGGAGAAGGCACAGTGAGCTGTGTGTTCAGCAGTCAGCAGTTATGTTTTGAACGGTTCAGATGGAAGTTTGGTTTGTTCAACAGGCAGTTCAGATTTCATATTTATCCTAGCTGGCAGCTGGCATTTTTAATGTGTTTTTATACTGCGCACGTTTTCTTTTCAAAGGCTTTGTCCCATGTCACGCCACATAGTTGGATGGGCCAAGTGACATGGTGTTTCTCAGGAAACGCCCGGTCCAACCGATGTTTGGAGGATGTTCTTCGATTTCCAGCCCTGAATGCATCTCAAACAGAAGGCCGTGAAAACGCTTACTATTTGCACATGAGGGAAGGAATGACCAAATACTCTGGCCACGGCTCACGCTTAGTTTTCTCGTTTCATGAGTTCAATGGTCACCTTTTTGTCGGTTGATCTACGGCTCGCGCCAGGTCCGTGCAGACAAGGCCGTGACGAGGCACGGCTGGGTGAGTCCACCCCCCTTCTGTGCCCCGGCTCCCGATGTTCAAACAGTATGGCATGGAGCCTGAACATGACACCCGCCAAAAGACCCGGAACGACCACCTCGCAGGGACCCCGTTAGACCCGTCCACCACCTCGGGGATTTCCCCGGTTTTTGCCCGAGTTCTTCTTCTTCCAGTCCACTGCGTTGGGGTCGGTCCTCGTTTCGGGCCGTGGTGGGGCGATGGGTTTCCCAGGTAGGAGAACAGAGGTCCTCCAGGTCGGCATCCAAATCTGAAGCACCATGGAGGTGAGAGCTCTGACTGAAGTGGAGGGGTGCTCTTATATAAGTCTTGGAAGGGTGCCAGGGTGCCCAGAAAAATCCACTCAGACTCACTGACTTAGGGACTCAAGTTGAACCACTCCTTTTTGAACACTGGAGGCAAACTGTAGGCATAAAAAGGTCGATGTCTTTTCGCAAAAAGGTGACCCTGCTAACCATGAACTGAGATCCGCCAATCAAGTATATTCGCAGTTCGATCGAATCCCAAACACTACAGTCGTCCATACTGGGCAGCTGTGGTGGATCATTCACTAATGCATGGTGCTTTGAAGATGTATCTTGCAAATCCTGGAGTTATTTGTTTGAGGCAGTTTTGGTGACCGGCGAGCATGGCTGCGTTCCCAAATGTATTGTGGTCATAAAGCTATCTATGCCAGCTGTGATGCGAATTCTATCTCGGGATGTGGTGGATTGTGCAGGAAGACAGGCAACATGAGAGAACTGGGTGACTGCCCCCCAGAAGCGGAGAATGCCAGGCAGCTGATTGCACAGGAACTCCAAGAAGTCAAAGTGGCACATGCAAAGCTTCAAGAGGCCAGTGGAGAAGAGCAGCGGAGCATGGGAAACATAGGGAAACTCGAAAAAAGGAATGGACACCAATTGAGAATTCTGCCCGGAAACCCAGACTGGGAGAAGTCACCGAAAACACATCACCTCATGGAACAGGATGAGCTGCCACGGACCCGGGCGTCCTACTCGTCGCGAGGTGAAAGGCCGCGATGGGACGCCCACAGAGCGGGCGCGTCAGGCGGGCGCGTCTTCCGGTCAAAAACGGAGGGTCAACTCCACCCGTGAAGGTCGTTTCCACCCATGGAGGTCGTTGAACTGTTGAACCGAGGTCCCTTTCCTTGATGGGTTGAGTGTATATCGGATTTGGATCGGGGTAGAATTGGTGATGTTGAGAGCTTGGCCAGTGAATGAGGGAGGGTGACTGGTCACCCAAGGAGTTTGGTTGAAAGCATGTGGCAATTGACCGTGGCTATGCTCGTTTCGGTGAGCTTGGCTTGCATAGATGTACCAACCACAGCAGGAACCCATGTCCAGATGGAACCCATTGTCTGAACTTCGAGAAGATACTGCACCAATTCGGCCTCTCCACTTGCAGGGCACCCCTCCCTACAATCCCCTACCTTTTCAAAACTTCTATACCAGCACCTTCATGCCGGGGTCACCTGGCTGGAAGCTCGCCCCCAGCCTACGATCTCCAGATAGGACACCCCGACTGGAGGGTCCAGGTAGTAACTCGCATTTCCCGCACACAAACCTCATGGCCTAGGCCCTCTCCTCGAGCGTTCTCGCCAGTGACACCGGGGCGTTGACGGTGCAGCGCTGCGACGTGCTGCAGCAGCGTGCGCGTGCCTTGCTGCACGGGGGGGCCGACCTGGACCCTGGGCAGCATGGATTTAGACGTCGTGGTAAGTAGTGAGTTGGTGTAGGAGCAGCAGTTGTAGCAGTAGTATATCAGTAGTATTACTGTAGTTGCTGATGATGATTTGATGTTGTTGCAGTAGCAGTAGAAGTGGTGATAGTAGACGGCACGTGTCCATATCCACTCGACCTGCGGAAGCCGTGAGGAAGCCGCAGGCGGCAACAGCTGCCTGAGCGAGGCGCGGGAGGCTGCAGAGATCGTCGAGCAGTTGGAGGACGGCGATGGTATGGGCCACATTGACTTCCCGCTCAGGGGGGCAGATCAAGGGGAAATGTCCAATCCAAAAAAGAATGGCCGAACTGTAACCAGGGCCCCCCTGTTAACGGGATGTCTACTTAATTCTATTTATTTTACATAGCCTCTTGAAATCTCTTGAAGGTTAAGGGGTGTCGACTACCCGTTGGGCCATTGGGGGTGTAGTCTTGTATAGTTATTGATGCACCATTCTATAGCAAATGAACACGGCAACGGTCGATGTGCTGCAAATCTGCGGCCGTGCGCGGCTTCAGCTCACCAACTTGACAGTTCCATTTCTGTTTCACTGCCTATTCTAAGCTGCTCAAGCACAGTGGAGGATGTGTTTGCGTTATGTTGTTTCCTATGTTTTCGGTGCCTCCTCAGATTTCCATCCCAGTTCCATACAGCACGCATCGCGATCTCATCACCCCATAAGGGGAAAAAAATCCGAAGGACTTGGGCCATGGAGATGATGCGCTTTATCGACGCTTGGCAGAGATGGCTGGGTGGTTGGGCCACCCAGTCGCATGGGCCACGGGCCATGTGCGGCGACGGGTTACGTGTGGTAGGCTCCTGTGAACCGCAGAGCTTGGCCACAACGAGCCTGGCAAGATGGATCAAGATGGCATGCGGAGAACGCATTGGCCGGTGCCAAATGGCGCGAAACGTGCGAAAGCAACATGAATTGATCTCAACAAAAACAGATGTGACAGTGACTTCCTATCCTACTGGGAGTTGTTTTTGGAAGACCGCCTGGGAGACCGCTTGCATTGGCCATATATCCGATCCCTGGGTGTTTCATGTCCCCTGAAGAAAAAGAATGCAGCCAAAACCACAAAAAAGGGGCGTCACATGGCGTCACAAGAAGTCGTTTATAGCACATCATCCAATACTACCCAAACACTCCGCGGGACAGGTATCTATGCAATTGGTCCGCCTCTTTTCAATCACTGGCCTGGTCGAGTCAGACTGCAGGCAGCTCCTCTTTGCCTTAGGACCTAAGACCCCTTCTTACAAAATAGCTCACCCCTGCAAGGGTAGAGAAGACCGGACCACTTGACCTCTGTCGGTTCCGGAGCTTCTTCTCCCGGGTCGGGGCGCCCAGGAGCCCTCCTGCAGTTCAGCCTGAGGGGCTTGGAGCGGCATTTGGAGCCCGACGATCCGGCCACTTGGGCACGGACGGTCGAAGGTCCGACATTCAGTTCACAGGACTAGGATTCACCTAGGTGATTCACCTCCTTTGCAGGGAATTGAACCATGAGCACCCTGAATTGCCCTGATGACGCAGAAGATCACCGAATGATATCGATGTTTTTGTGTGCTCATGCAGGGGTGTGGTCACCAAGCAGACTTCGACGAATGAGGGCATCACGGTCATGTGGTCACATTGCTGTCACGTTGCCTCCGGAGCCTTTTGGGGTTGGGGATCGGTGGTTTCATGGATGATGAATGTACCATGCCAGTGGAGCGGAGATTGGGATCCTTTTTTGGGCGATGCCTTGGGACCCTTTTTTTTGCAGTGAAGGTGCTTGCAAGAGTCTTAACAAGTGGGTGATGATTTGGTGAGTTATCGCTAGCCACAACTCACAAGAAAGCCATGTAGGTTTGAGTGAGGAAGAATCCAACACGTGAGGGGTGCATTTTTCAGTATTGAAAAGCATTTCTAGATGGTACGTGTAGCCCATGGGGTGCGTCAGGGTAGGCCACGGTTTCTTGCTTTGTGTTGCTTTGCGCAGCAGGTGTCCCGGCGCGATATCATCCACCCTCCAGCAGGTCACCACTTGCGACTTTTAAGTCAAAAGCCTTCCATCGGAGACCTGTCTTTTAAGGTGCTGGATGTGATTAGATTTGTCCAATTCGACGTGCCTAAACGGTCCCATGCCGCGATCCAACACATCGAAGTTCTTCTGCATCGAAGTTCTTCGGCCCAAAACACGAGAGAGCGAGGAAGTGCTGGCACGGGTCCATTCCTTGGGCGTCTCCTTGGAGAATCTGGGCGAGAAGACCCTGGCTTTGCAGCGCCCTGGCCTCCAAGGGAGGCCTCCGGCTACACCGGCTTAGCCAACACCCCCAGCCTGGGTCCAGTGGGAATCTTTTTGGGGAACACGTGTTCTATCGTTTTCTACCTTGGAGGATGTTGTTTCTTTTAGAATGTTTAGACAGATCATGGCCATGGCGATGTTTTGCCACTTGCACATTTGTTGGATGGTTTGGAACAAAGTAAGCTGACTTGCTTGTTTATATATATATATATATACATATACATTGTACCACAGCAACATGTTATTTAAAACCGGAACATCCGGGCTGCGCGCGTGAAAAACATCCGATCATTCAGCACCAGCCCAGACACTCGAGACGAGACTGCCGGAAATTCCGAGACCCGAGACCCACGCAGCCGCGGGAGAATGCCATGCCGTGCGTCTCGGACGGTCGACGACCTTCGCCGTGGACCGGAACGAACGACGTGAGACGTCCCCGTTCGCCAAGGTTCTATCAACGTGCCTATGAGAGTCGTTCGCAGCGTTTGGGGTCAGAACATCGAGACACCTTGGACACGTGGCTGAATCGAGCAGCGTTTTTCGAAGCCAAGGGGTGCAGAGAGGGATGGGCTGGGTTGGTACTGGTAGCCAAGGAGCCAAGGAATGAGGGCCACTCCCAAGACGCGTTGAAAGCATGGACGTCCCAAGCTTGGATGCATGTGTTGAGGAATTGCAACGATCTAAGCAGGCAGCGGATAAAAAAGATGGTCTTTGGAGAAATTATACATGTATCAATATTAACATGTTGTTCTCCATCCTGCTTGTCAACCTTGGTGAACCGGAACAAGCTTCCGGGCTTCATCGCTTTGTTCCGTTTCCGGGGTTCCCCAGGGACAGCAACGGTGAACACACCGACACCGCATCAGACAGCTCCAGCCCAGCCTACCACTTGCTCGCTTGCGCCATCCGTCACCGTCGTACGTAGACACAGTGACCGTCGCTGCACGAACTCAGCCGTCGCGTTTCATCGTGTTTGTTTACGTGTTTTTTGTGAAAAGAACGAGATCGGCAGTCTTCCACGAAGAGCTTTTAAGGAGGCTGAGACATGCTGAGACGGTTTGTTGTTTCAGGATGGAATCTTGCTTCACTCAGTCAGTGCTTTTCTTGAGGGGTTGAGGAGTCGGAGCCTGCTCAGTGAGCTAGAGCTGGAAGGATCATAGCGCGCCACCGAGGATTCAGGCTACAATTTGGCCACCTGCTATCGAAACGTGGGGAAGCTTTCGGACGCTCGGACGAATGATGACAGGGGAGGCAGATTTTACGTGAAAGCCGCAAGCCGTAGTTTCCTCATGATCCTTATGTCATTCATACATGTCTTTGTGAGGGCACCTTTGGCACTGAGACAACAGGTTTTGACCATATGGGTCAAAGCTTCCCAATGAATTGGCGTAACTCTATGAATTGCCTTGTGTTCGACGCTGCATTTGGTGTGGCCATGTGTGGCGTTTCGCTTCTGGCCATCCGCTTCCTGGTCAGGAAGCGGAAGTTCTCTTCGAGAATGTTCTCACGTGTAGTCAACGAGTCTTGGGGTCACAGTGCCCTTTGACCATTGACACGGCTGAGCAGTTGGCTGATTTATTAGAGCGGAAGGACGGGTGGAAGGAGACGGGACCAAAAGGAAGAGTAGAGGTTTCTTTCGGGTTGGGTCGGATGGTCCAACCCCTCAACTTGCAAGTGAAAAGCACACATGCATCATCTAAAGAGATCTAAAGAAGAGAGTTCTTTCGTTGCCCTGCTGAATGCAATGTTTTTTTTAACACAAATTCTTGGGATCCGCGATCCTCCGGTGCCACTACGATTTCCTCGCCAGGACCTGGTCGCAGCGTGGAAGCTCCGACGTTCACTCCTGGAATGGCCCCTGGACGGCGATAGAGGGATGGAGCGAGCAGGAGGGATGGAAGGTACACGAAGGTACTGAAGCCTAGCCAGGAAGTATATACTTGGGACATGGTCCCTTGGGCAGAATACTTTCCTTGACAAACAGGGGGTCAACTCTGCTTCCATGTGACGCTCGCAAAACATCATATCTTCTGGGCATTCTGGGGATCAGGCTGGTTGGAATCAGGCCAAGCTGCAAGGTGGAAGATCTTTGCCAAGCTGCCAACAGGGGCGGTTCGCTTCAGGATGGTTGGAATCAGCACATCCGTCTCCGTTCTGCCCAATTGAACTCAATCCGCCCCCGACGACTCGTGAGGACATCTGTCCGCTCGGTAACCGTGCGGTAACCGGTCCGTCAGGTCCACCCAGCAATGACTATGTCAATATGGGACTGGGGTTCTCTGGGTCATTCCTGACCTACCTGGACCTTCTTTCGGGGTGTCCTGGACCTGGAGGTCCCTTTTTTCTCGTGGTGGGCTGGGGCGAACTTCCAGCCAGGTGACCCCGACATGAAGATCATGAAGGTGCTGGTATGTTGATTAGGTTTCACTCTTCATTTGTCGAAAACACTGACAACATATGTCCAGTCCAGAGCGTCCAACGTCCTTTGGGATCGGGACCCGAAAACCAAGTCGTTCCGACCACTTGGAGATACGCCCTGAGACGCCTATGGCCGGCATACGCCCCGGTTTCGATGTGCATGGATGTGCTGGGCTTTGTGATGTTCAACGGATTCTCCACTCACTTGACTTACTTCAAGACCTCTCAGTCTAGAGTCTAGAAGCAAAACATGTTCTCCCCAGGGACATGAAACTTCAGGGTTTTTTGGGGGAAGGGATAGATAATGTAGTAATCAAAAATTACTAAAACCACCCATTTGAATCCATGTTGGATGGTAAAACCTTTTCAGGCCTGGGGGGTCTAGACATTGAGAAGACCTCAGTCCTGCCCTTTGCTCTGAAAAAAACCGACAGGTCCCGGTCCGCCTACGGCGAGGAGCACTCGTGTGTCGCGCATGACCGAGCGGAATGGACCAGATGTTCACGGCTGATTGGCTCATAAGGTATACATGCTACTCGTTTCTTCAGTGTAGAAACTCACCGTTTCTTCAAATCCCTAGTGATTACACCATGGTGGCAACCCTCATTTACTGGAACAAAAACCCGACCTTCCCTCCTCCCAATCTGCAGCTCTCTCAGATGTTGTTTCTCACCTCATATACCCCTCCCTCATTCGCCAGGACGACCCTGCCGCCCTTCTGGCCATGGCGAAGCTCGCCGGCGTGCTGAAGCGTGCGGCGGACGCCGGCGTCGCCAGTCGCCTGGCTGCGGCGGAGGCGTTGAAGGCCTCGGTGGCGCGACATCAGAAGGTCCTGGGCTGCTCGGCGGATGCGGAGGAAGGTGGCGGAGGAATCGGGGGGACCTTCTCACATCTCGGAGATCTCTTTGGTTTGCCAAAAAAAGGAGGTGTCGCTGTCCATTTACGAGGGGGGGTTTACATGATTCTTTACATATGTGTTTTTTCATCAATTCAATATCAAGCCTCTGTAGATACATGGTTTGTTACATGGTTTTACATTCCATATCAAGAGTCCAACGAGGGGGCTTTACACAAGTCCTATTTTACATATGGTATCATATGGTTTTAATATGTGTTAATCTAAGAGTCTACATACAGTCTACAGACCTTGTGACTTTGAATTCGCCAACGGTCGGTCTGGCATGGTATCTCTTCGAACCTCGGGGTTCGGCCCTTCGTTTGGCCCTTCGTTCGCCGGTGTTCAGAAGCCGACCTGTTGGGACCTCTCCTAGGAATCGGTACCCCATGGATCCGGTACCTCACTCTCATTTGGGTCCTTCAGGTCACTGGCTACTTCTGGCTGGTTTCCCCCTTCAGGAAAAGAAGGATAGGAAGCATGACTCCGTGGCGTAGCTGAGGAGCTGAGAGCCCAGAGGCCATCCAAGCCGCAGCAGAGTTGCTTGGATGGGGAGATGGGTGTCCAACCGGATTCGAAGGATCGGTGACCGGCGAGGGAAAAACATCGGTTCTGGTCAAGTTGGACTCTGGCGGCCCTGGCGTGCATCCTTAAGGTTGGCAGAGTTCATGGCGAGCTCTGGTGCAAAAGCGCCGCCTCGCCTCAAATGGTTTCAGGCGAATTCCGACCTTTGAAGAGGTTGCCACAGCCACAGCCACCCTTTTGGCCGTGTTAACTTTTTAGAATATAATTTAGTAGACATTTGTAGTCAAGAGCGGGAAGTGAAGTGATTCGTAGTGATGAACAATTGCTTGCGACGCCCGCCACGCCGCAGGGTTCCCGTTCCTTTGAGTCGGCATCCTTGTTTTCGCTTAAGTGGTTGCAACCGTTCGTTGTACGTAGTTCTTGTGATAATTTTCTGGTCATCCCTTTGGGTTGATCATGTCAGCTATCATGTGTTCGGTAGGCTGGAGGAGATCTTCTGCATGAAGATCAGCGAGATCATGCGTGAGGCTTGGCGATATCGACCTGCATTCGGACAGTGTGCCACGAAGGCAATGGCGGCATTCAATGAATGAATTGGAGGAATGTACATAGATTCGCAGGGTGTGCGTCTTGCAACCACATGGAAGCTCCAAGTGCATGCGAATGGGCATATTAGACCAATCTTTGTGATTAATTGATTTATAATTGCAATGAACCCAATTATGCACTAGGATGATTTCTCTCGGAATGCTTATTGAATAAATAATGCAAATTCCTTTAAAATGATAATATTCATTCGAAGAATCGAATATATTTATATAAGAAGTATTATATATTGAAATATTAATGAATAGGAATTCTAATATATTAATATAAGCGCCACTTCAGCTCAAAAGGCGCGCGGGTGGGACCACCGGGGCAGTGCCATGGTTTTGATTCGTTGACCTTTTCCTCACTGCTTGATCCATGCAGCCATTTTGCCACCTGCTTTTGATCGTCACCGCTTTTTGTCTGAAGAGTTTGGTCCCAAGTCCGGGCGGTATGGGCACTCCATATTCCCCAGATCAGCACATCTCTATGCCGGGCGCGAGGGTTGTTCCTCCTGTCTCAGGAGAGAACAAGAATTACACTACGATTCCTGATCGTGTTGCTTATCGAGCGAAACCGCACGAGGCTTGGGCACTGTCGGGCTTAGGCCCAGTGTCGTCTCGTACTAGGTGCACTCGCATTAAGCGTGCATTCACTCGGGCCTGTTTTCGTGCTCTCAACCATGGTGTAGCCATGTATAGGAATAGACCACTATACTCCTCACAGGTCCCGTTCCGGATCCGTCAAAAGTGGCACCAGAGCCTCATTTAGGCCACTAAATAGACCTCATGTAGTCCTTTATAGGTTCCGCCTGGCTTCCTTCGTGTCTCATAATGGAATGCATCACGTACTCTCTGTTATGCCACATGGCTTGAATGGTGCAACTAGGCACCTTTTGATCTTGTAATTGTTTAGGAAACTGGATGGCACATGACCAGTGAATGGAGCAGGCCTTAGTGGTACATCATCCACAGTGCCGATAAGTTCGCCTCTGTCCTCATTATAATTATGATAGGGCCGCCCTGATTAACAGAGACAACACCGATTTGTTTAGGCACGCCTTTTTTTGCAGGCCGCATGACATCTTGGCCATCAATTAATAGGCCTGGAATCCAATGGAGATCTTTTTAATCTCTTACTTGGGTTTTCTGAGGAGAGCGCGCTGAGGAACAACAAAATTAAATTGTTTCTTCAAAATTGAATGGCACTGCACCTAAACAACCCAAAAGGGATATTGACACCCTGGCGGAAGGAAGCAAGGAAGGAAGAAAGAAGCAAAGAAGGAAAGAAGGAAGGAATGAAAGAAAGCAAACAAGCAAGCAAGAAAGAAAGCAAGCGAGCAAGCAAGCAAGAAAGAAGAGGAAGGAAACAAGAAGGATTTTTTTCTTCTTTCTCTCTTTCTATAAGGCTTTTTGACCCTTGTTGGTCTTTCTTTCTTTCTGTTTGTCTTTCTGTTTTTCTTTTTATTTTCTTTTCTTTTCTTGTGCGTGGGAAGTTCTTTCTTTTTCTTTTCTTTTTTTCTTTTCCAAAAAGGACATGAGTGGGAAATCGCTTTTCACACCTAATCCCTCCTCCTAGCTGAAGACAACATCATTTTAAAGAGATAGCGCACGCACCGTCAGCCAACACAAATCACGAAAGGTAACCTGGTAAGGACTACCTTGAGTTTGCTTTGCGAAGCAAAGGGACTGGCTTGAGAGCTTGCTCGGGACTAAAGATTGGTAGATCAATATCTAACACCCCCACCCCCCCCTTCCCATGTGATGAATGATTGATAAATCAATTCATTCGATCCCCCCCCCTCCCCGTCCCCTCCCCTCGTCGCCAGCACTACTAAATTCTGGACATAAGGTGAAGTCATGCGCTTAACAATTACAGCAGTACGACGCTGGCCATGAGGTTGCGCAATACAGCACGAACCCTGCGCAATGAGGTCGCGCAATGCAGCTTCGATGCCGCGCGTGCGCACCCGGCAGCCTGACACAGCGCGTACTGCGTTCACAGACCATATTGCTCGACACTAACGAGTATCGATGCAACACAGCCTCTCTGCAAAGCCCTGTGGAGAAACCCCTCGCGTCGCGGAACCCCATTCGACTCAGCCTTATACCCTACAGGCAAATGACAAAGTCGTCTCTTGTTTATCTACATTGTGGGTTTTAGCTTGGGGGAAGCAAAGGTGGAAAGTCGTTTTTTCTCTTCTTTTCGCAAGCTGAATGTAGGAGTTTCTAGCACTTATTACTTTTTCTTGAACATGTTGTAAATGTAGCGTTCACATGCGGAGTTGAGGATATTTCACAGTGACCTAGATGATTCATATGTTGCGTTTAGCTTGGGAAGAGGTATCATGTGTGGCCATTTCTAGTCAAGTCAGCTCTTGGGTGCGCCCTTGCTACTCTTGGAGATGTCTAAGTTAAGTGCGATAAAGACAATGAAGGCCACGCAGCCCAAGAAGGCTATGAAGGCAATCGACAATGTTTGATTTAGATGTTGTTTCAACCATGGGTCGAAAAGTGCCTGTGATAATTGTTGGCCTTCCGTAATAATGTGAAATCCTTATTGGGTCAGAGTCCCCCCATGGCAATTTTTGGCGGTATCCGGTATCTTTAAGTGTAAGCCTTGGAGTTCCATTCTATTGTATTCAATTGTTTTCGTTTGCTTTCACTTTGCTTGCATGTTGCTTTTATGTTACCTTCATTCTGATTCTGCTTACACTTGGCTGTCCTGTTTCTTTCATGCTGCTTTTAATTGCTTTTATATTGCTTTCATTCTGCGGTTAGTTGCTCTTATGTGTGTTCTTGTTTATGTTGCTGTCGTTTGTCTTTATTCTGCTTTTACTTGCCTTTATGTTGTTATTATGCTGCTTTGAATTTATTTGCTTTTATATGCTTTTATGTTGCTTTCTTCTGTTTTCATGTTGCTTTCGTGCTGCTTTCGTTCTGCTTTTATTTCCCTTTATGTTGCTTTCGTTGTTGTTTATTTGGCTTTTACTGCTTTTATGTTGCTTTGAATTCATTGCTTTTATTTGCTTTCATGTTGTTTTTATTTTTTTTTTTTTTTCATGTTGCTTTTATTCTGCTTTGGCTTGCTTTTTTTTTGTGACTCCGTTTGTTTGCATTCTGCTTTCATTTGCTTTCTTTTTTTTTTTTTTTATTTGGCTTTATTGTTGACATTCTGTTGACATATTTCGGCTTTTTGAGGCTTGTTTTGGCAATGGGATATTACATTTATGATTCAAGAAGGATGATTCGGTCTAATTATGTAGCATTTTTAACGAGTACAAGATTAAGTTTGATTTGGTTGCTCTGGCAAAATGAATAATGTAATGTCAGGTAGCCTGCCTAATACTCATCTAACATTATACATTATTAGTCTACTAGTCCATATATTGGATGACACCTTTCGGTGGCGTATTTGTGTTTTAAAATATTCTTTCCTTTCTGTTGTACTGGTAACCCTCTCCTTGGTAGGTTTTCCACAGTGAAGACTAAGACCTGGTGAATGAGGCGGCTCCATTGTTTTCTACACAGAAGAAGAAGGCCTGTGAGCCTGCGTAGCACACTCCAGAGAAAGTTGTCTAGTAGCAAGCGCTTATAGAGCAGGTCAAATCTGAGTACTTGCTTGCCTTGAAGAAATTGAAAGGTATGCATTTGGAATCTGGCTACAAACCCACTCACAAAGGTTGGGTGCCTAGCCAGGTTACTGAATGCTTTCTGTGTGGATGGGCTAAGCACTCGTGTTCTTGGCAGTACAGGGCCTCTGGCAAAAGGCGTTTGGTGACGGGATCAACCTGTCTATGCTGTGTGAAAGCAACCAAAGTGCTGAAAGTTAGTCGGTCCGTTCATACGCTCCAAAAGCTTGGCTTGAAGCTAGCCGTTGTCACTGTTTCCCAGTTTTTGCAGCAGAAACGCGGGGGCGCTGACACTTGCTCCTGTGATGCTTGTAAAGTGGCGTGATTAGCTGGCTGACCCAACGCCATCGAGACGGGGTCATGGCATCGTTAGAAAAATACATGCGCCAGCCATGTGCCCTTTTTGAATTCTTTCTACTTTTGATTGCTCTGTTTTTCACATAGTGCTGCGTTGCAGACACAGTGTTTTTTGTTGAATCTTTGAGATGCAGATGAGAGATGTGAGCGTGCAGCAACAAGTAAATTTGACGAGTGAAGCTTTCTGCGATACTTGTTCTTTACTAGGGGTAGCATTGTTTTGAGCATGTGAGTCGCAAGAATGGGTGCACAGGTCTGTTTCAGGCGCTCGAAGTCCAAGGCTCTTTGTTTCACTTCTTTTTCTCTAGATGTGTCCGCGCCATGCCTCTAAAGACTTACAAAAAGACGCAGATTATGCGACTCTCCTGCTTGGCCTTGGCAGACGCGTGCGTCGAATGGGGCGTTGCATGGCCTGACAATGAAGATGATTTGGTCATTAGGGGAGAGCTCTTCAAAGCCATTAGGGCTTCTATTGCGCCTACTGAGCCTAGTGAAGTTTGTGAGGGAGAAGGCGAGGGGAAGGGCAACGTGTGGGCTGAGGACTTTTGTGTTCATATCCGGATCTCGTCCGCATCTCGTTCAGATCTCGCCCAAAACCACCAACCAAAACCCTTTTTTTTGTGGTTCAGGTGCTTCTTCTTCTGCTTCAGCGCCTTTACCAGCTCCCTGCGAGCCACCTCCAGACAAAGCTAGCTGCTGCGTCGATTGCGCTCAAGAGCTGTCTGGGGTAAATGCTTCTCCTCTGGCCACGTATTGTTCCAAGTGTTTCTTTTTCCACGTGTCTTTGAACAATCGAGGCTTGAAGCAACCGATCTCAGGAGCTACTCATTGCATTCTTTGCTCTGAACAAATCACACAAGACAGCAAAAGTCCTGTGGCAGGCTGCTGCTTCATGTGTTGGGAGAGCCAAGAGACCATAGCTGCCGCTATGCAAGCGGAAGCAAAAGACCGGAACATGACGGCAGAATGCGACGTAGCCACAGCAGAGCGCCCATGTGTTGATTAGGCAGACGGTAGTGATGTTGCGCAGCCTTTTCCTCCAAATGGTTGGAGCAGGCAGAAGCGAGAGTCCGAGATGGTGAGGAATGCAAGAATTCAATCCTTTTTGGATGGAGCTAACAGCAAATGCCAAAAGCACTACATTGAATTGTGGAAAGCAAGTTCTGATGAGGACAAGAAAGCTTTCAGAGACATGGTGACCTCTAAGGCAGCAGGTGCACCTCCTTCCGGGACAAGCTCTGGCCAGTCCACTTCCGACAGAGATGCTGGCAAACCATGGCAGTGCTTTGCAGGGGAAAAGCCGACCATTTGCTTGCCGCCTGGCTACACTGTGGAGAGGCTGCAGACTGACTTTGCTCATACATCTTCTTCGCCAGGCTCCCACGACCAAAGCCGTTGGGAAATGTATTGCTTGATTCGCTTGCTGATTCTGTCCCCGGACTCAGACTTGGAGCATGCAATGAACGCTGAGAAAGTCTTGTCAGATCTGCGTGTGAGTCGCAAGCGGCTATATACACTTGCGCGCAACTTTTCGCCTCCTTTTCCTTTATAGTGCCCGGTGGAGTTCAAGATGGGGCGCACTCCCAGCAAAAGCCTCAGCCACCAGGAGTGCAAGGATCTTCTTCTGTTCATCAAGTTCCACGAACGTACAGGCACAGCTTTGTCCATTCCCCAACTCGAACAAGCCATTGCGCCTTGGTGTTTGTTTGAAGCATTTTGAAGCTGTGGGAAACTGTTTCCACTTCCACTCGACCAGACAGACGCTTCCAAACCCCGTAGTGCGTTAGTTAGATAAGCTTTAATCTTGGCTAGAGCAACTTGCATGTGGGCAAGGTGCTGATGAAAATGGCAGGACAAGGTTTGCTTGACGACTTGGATAGAGCCCACCCGACCGACTTGATGGCTCGCATTGACGAACTCCGTCCTCTTTATGAAACTCCGGGCTTATGGAAGAGGTTCAAGGAATGGGTGTCTAAGCACTGTTCCGCTGACGACATGCTGTCCTGCACCAAGCTCCGTGCAAAACCTGTTGTGGAGGTGACCAGCTGTGAGCCTCACATAGTTGCCAAGGCATTCACCACTCTAGAACAGATGTGTGTCCGCAATGGCATTGTCGCTGATGATGTGCTGCAAGCTAGCGAGTCTTCAAGGCTAGCTGTAGTGGACGAGAAAGGCTTCAGCGCCAGGTCTGGCGGTCTTTGCGGGTTTCTGTTTGAAACAGAATGTGAAGGCTGTAGGTGTTTATATTAATTTTTTGGTACGCTTAGATGCACCTGCGCCCTGTCCAGGTCTGACCAGCATTGCCGTGGAGTTGTCACTCGAGCGATGCGAGGGAAATGCTCTACAACGATGGCGTCCTGCAGCTTTGACCATATCACAGTTTGCTCTTTCCTTCCTTTGAGTGGTGATTTCTTACCTGTGGGTTGCATTGTATCCTGCAAACAGCTGAACCGTCAGTTTAAAGATATGATGCCGTGTGCAGAGTTCTATGCCCATGAGTCCGGGGCACAAACGCCAAACACATTCGCTCACATGCTTGAAGTTTGCTACATTAAGCCCATGAGAGAAAAATGGCCAGACCATGCTTCGCGCTTGATCCTCTGCATGGATACAGGGGGAGGTTCGCTGTTGTATCTCAACCCACTTGTGGCTATCCTGTGTGAAAGGCATGCAGTTGATGTCTTCGTCATACCAAGTTATTGTACCAAGGCCATGTGTGCCTTGGACATGACACCCCACTCAACCATGAGTTTGATGTGGTCGAAATTCAAGGCAGAATATGCGAGGCAGACCGGATCCGATCTGTCCATCTTCGTTGCAGCATAGAGTCACTGCTGGACTCTCCAAGCAGAATGCCCTAGCAGGCTGGGCTCATGTTGGCTTTGTTGTTGGGCAAGCAATCAACCGCAACAAAGTGCTGGTGGATCGTTTCAACGAATGCTTTCAAAGCAAAAGGGCTGGAGGAGGACTCGAGGACAGTCCTGAGTCAAAGACATCCGGGGTTCTGGATTTGGTTGCGAGAGTTTCTCCTAAGCGAGAGCGTTGTTCAGCTCCTGGATGTAAAGCTTTGTTCTCAGTGGCTTACAAGCATTGCCCAGACTGCGGTGCAGAGAACCCTAAGTTCGAAGCTGAAGCCTTGACTTGGTTCGGACCCGGCAAGAAGCCTGGCTGGGTCAAAAGTTCCCTGGCTGCAAAAAAACTAGGACTCTTTGTTAGTGGACTCTTTGATAGTGGCGCCTTCAAAAACACTAGAACGGTCTGAAAGATTTTGTTTGCTTATGATTTCTATTTGAGAGCGGCAGAGGCATGGTACCCGCTATCGAACCTCAGACTTTGCAGGAGAAAGAAGTGGCAGGGGCTGCCGGCGACTGGCTTCAGAGTGTTCGCAAAAAAGCTTCAACGTCAACTGGCACTGACAGCATAACTGTTGCGCCTTCTACTCCTGCACCACCCTCAGCTCCAGCTCCCAAGCCTGCCCCATCCATGCCCGCACCAAGCACACCGGCTCCAGGAGTTTTGGCACAAGAACCTGGGCCTTAACAGAGTGAATGGGACCTGGAAAGCCCAGAACAATGCTGCAGTTGGATCGTCAAATGCTTTTCGGCCAAGCGGCAAAAGGAAATAGAACCTTTAGCCCGCTTTTACATCTCTTAGCTGCGTGCCGAAAAGGGCCCCTTGTCAGACAATTTTTACAAACATGTCATCGGGCCCCGATTGCTGGCCAGTTCGAAAGGACGAGATTCTTGGGTGCAAAGCACCAAATACAATCGGTCCAAGAGATTTGTCGCAGCTCCAGAAGAAGTGTATAAGAAGTGAGCAAGGAAAAAGAGTGCGGTGTGAGCACTCCATCAGCAATCTTTGCGTTGACATGGGGAACTGTGGCTTCAACCCCTTTGTTTGCAAACCTTTCTACCACTGAAACGCAAACTAAATGCAGCATCACCCTTCAATATTGCCAGAAATCTGGCTTAGAAGACTCTGAAGGTTTTATTGCGCTCACAATGGGCGAAACATCAAAGGGATGACTAAGGGATGACTTCCTAGAAACTGCGTTCCCATGGGGGAATACACAAAAGGGACGCAGAGGGATGACATTGTCCACTCCCTGTAGCGTGGCGAAATCTTACCGCATCGTGGAGCACACCCACCACAGCGTGACGTCCATCCCTGGCAGTACCGGCCGCACCCCTCCAGCACTATCCTTACAAGGGGGTTGGTCACTGCGGCTTCGACGCAACGCGTGCAGGCCTGTAATCCTGACACAGTGCGTGCAGCTGTGGGACCATAGCTGGTACACATGCGAGCGTTTACGCATTGCGACTTTTACGCGCGCCTGTTTTCCCACCTAGACACAAACGAGCGTCGACGTAACGCAGCTTCTCTGTAGAGCCGTGTGGCGCAATCTGACCGCAACGGTGTTCCTCTTGAGCCTTCTTGTGCTTTCTGGCTTTGTTGGTTTCATCCATGATTGACCAAGGGACACGTTCCTGAAACACCCGAGACAGTCCCTCACTAGAAACGGTCCCGACACGTCTCTACGTTTCGTGTTTCCCCGCTCAAGTATGTGTGGAAAAGATTTATTTTTGATTTGTGGCGATTTTAATACACCTCTAGAATTTAATATTGATTATGGGTGTTGAATTAATCCTAAATATTAAATTTAATCGTAATATTTAAATTAATGGTTCTATTTTTTATATTTTCATATTAATTAATAATTTAATAATTATTTCTCCTAAGAATAGATATATTTTTATATTTATTTATGATAATTATTAATTAAGGATTGATTTTATAGTAATATATATATTTTAAATTTATTGATATTTTGTTTAAATTATATATTTGATTGATTATTATTTTTTATTTAATAATTATGTATTTTATTATATATTTTAAAATATAATAATATTATTTTAATTACGGTTTGAAACCATTATTGAGGATTTAGGTTTGCTTTTACGTACCGATTTTCTTTTAGTAGAGAAAAGATGGCGATTATACGATTTAGGATTTGGTGAATTTATGACGTGAAAAAAATTCTATTTTATTGGGATTTTTTGGATTGCATTACGATAATTTATTATTAAATGAATTGGTTTTTAACTTTAGATATTCGGTCGATATAGGTTTTTCGATGGAACCGAATTTCCGTTTGTTTGTTACGTTTTATTAATAAATATAGTTGGAACATTTATTGGAAACATTGTGAAAAATCGTTGGGATTTATCGAGGTGTCGAATTTCACTCCGGATATTATTAGGTTTGTCTTCGGACTGGAGGAAATCGATTTTTGACAGAAAATTGGAGTAGAACTTTGCTATGTGCTCACACTCCTGACCTGGAGCATAATTTGTATTTCTTATGGCTAATTGATAGCACACATCTCACGAGCGCCTGGAAATCCTTGATCCATTGCAATCCTTTTGTGTCTTTTTCGTCCAGCCAAAAACCATGATGATTTTGTTGATGCCGCCCGGGGGGCACCAGATGCGCGCGACGCAGCGGATCCACGGATCGAAGCCTAACACGGGCAGAGCTACCTCTGCCGGAAGTGAATAATAATAAGTAATATTAATATGGTCTAAATTAAAATAGGTATTTGATCGGATTCGATTCCGATCGAAATAATAACATAAATAAAATATATGATAGAAATTTATTTGAAAGGTTTATTTAATTGAAATTGATTATATTAAGAAGAATTGTTTATATTTATTGGTGGCGTCCTTGAATTTTGTGATTGGATTTTGCATTTTGATTTTATCGAATTTTATTTTTATTGTTGTTTATGATTGGGTTCTATGGTTGGGGTTTGTTTTGTTTTGTTTTTTTTTTATCTTCGTATTATTTTTGTTTTGGTAATATCTTTGAATTCTGTTCTTAAATTTTATGGATTTTCATTTTGTCCTTGTTTTGATCGCGCCCTTGAATTTTGTGATTGATTTCGAATTCATTGATAAAACAATTTATTTTTGGAGGAAACATATAATTAAGGCATATTAATAAATTGATTAATATTAATTTAAAAAAATCATATTGAAATTATTTTCTATCTATATTGAATATTTTCTAATATAAATTCACAAATATATATATTTCTGGAACAAAATATCGTTATCGATGATAATATATTCTTAAATTTATATACAATATTATTTAAATAATTTTTTTAAGGAAATTTGATATTTTTTAAATATAAAAGATATATTATAAATCAAAAAGATTAAATTTATAATATTATCTTTAAATTAATCCAATATGCATTGAATATTATATAGGAAATTCGATTAAATATTTAATTCGGACCTATATTTATGTGTTATTAATTCGCCATGGGGAAATAAAAAGACAGGGATCAATTATATATGTCTATTTGTTAGGTGAAGATCTTTATTTCTTCTCCTTTCTTTCGTTTTTTCTTCCGTTCTTCCTCAATTACGAATTTGGGATGGTAATGTTATCCGTCGGACCTTAATTGCCAACCTCCCCCCGAATAACAATATCGATCGCCGGACCCGCCGGACCTCATTTACCAACCGACGACAATATGATCCGCCCTATCTCAATCGTACATCAGAAAATATATTAGATAGAACCGAACCGAAATAAATATCTAAAGATATGCCAAATAGAATACCAGAAAGAATATTAAAAGATATGATAACATAAAATTCAAAACATATATTAGAAAAAATAAAAAATATATAAAAATAATATCATAATGAATATCCGAAAGAATATCCGAAGATATACCAGAAAAAAAATATAGATATTAAAAAATAGATTAGAATCAATATATAACAATATATATATATCACGAAACAATATTAGAATATATATCAAAAAATTATAAATATCGAATATATTACAAAGAATATCGTAAGATTTTCAATTATTATTTCCGGACGGTCGTATTCGTCTCCAAACCTTAATCATCAATTATCAAAAATATCAAAAAATACCATAAAGAATATCAGAAAGAATATCGCAAAATATGCAGAATATATGCCAGATAACATTATAGAAAGAATATAAATAGATATAATAGAAAAAATATATCATAAAGATTATTTAAAGATATAAAAACAATAATATCAAAAAATCTAAATAAAATAAAATATTATAAATTAATCGATCAACAAAATTTATATATATATTGAATTATTATTTACAATTCAAAATCAATTCTAATAATATTATATTTTGATATATCTATAATTAATCAAATTAGGTCACTAAATAATATAATATATATATAAATTCATTATTAAATATCCGAAATTAATTTTAATTAAAAATCCTTTCCTCGAATAAAATAAAAAATGGTTGCATTTCAATTAAATATTTATATATTAGAATATTCTTAATATTCATTTCCGGCAGAGGTAATTCTGTCCGTATTGCATTTCAATCTTCTTCACATCGGCTACGTCGTGTATATCTCATGCCCCGGTCGATATAACTAAAATATTTAATATATATAAAATATATATATTTTTTAATATATATATTTATAATTATTTAATTATAATGTTATTTTTTTCCCATATAAGATTAATAATAAATAATTATCATTATAATAAAATATTATTATATTATTCGATTTATATATATATCATTCGATTTATATATCCATAATTCGTATCCAAAATTCCAATGTTCATTCAAATCCCTTGCTTTTATATATTATTCCCCATCAAATTCTGCATTCCTTCCACCAAATTTATTCCATTCGTCCGAAGTAATCAAACGATTAATTTTCGTCATATAAAATAAATCCATAAAAATTTAGATAAATCGATTCTTTTTTATCCAATATATATTTCTTTATATATTAAATAAATTTATATATACATATATCATATTATTAGAAAATATCAAATTATTATTATTCATACTATAAATAATATATAATATTATTCTTTATATTAATTATATTTTTAAAAAAATATTATATTATATTATATGTTTATAATATATAATAATAATATATTATCTATTTATATTTCATAAATTATATATAAATTATTATTATAATCTAATTTAATATATATTTCCAATTCCAAAAAATTCAATAATATATTTTAGATTTATTTTTCAATGTTCGAAATATTTTTTATATATATATATATATTGATTTTAATCAATCAATCGATTACATATTTTTTTCATATATCCAGTTATATATTAATTATATATTGATTGTCTTTTTAAATTATCTCTAGCGAAGATTTATGGATTTATCGAATGGTACAAGTCTTGAACAACCAAGAATTCGGGGATTAAATTAGACGTGTCAAGCAAAAGATCATTAGGCCATCAACCAAAGAATACGTCAAATGATCCCCTCCATGACATTTCAACCATTTATAGTCCACATCGTGTGTTTGTGGTTGTGTTGTGTTTTGAGGTGCGAAATTGCCCAGTGTGATCTGGCCCTTGCAGTTGAGGCTCGTTCGTGTCCACTGCCTGGCACTTGGTGTTGAAGTCCGGTAGTGACCACTGAGATCTCGCACTCGCTGTTGAGTTCTGGTAGTGCCCACCTCAATCTGGCGCTTGCTGTTGAGGTCCGGCAGTGCCCACTGCGATCTGGCACTTGCTGTTGAAATCCGGCAGTGACCACTGAGATCTGGCACTTGCTGTTGAGGTCCGGCAGTGCCCACTGCGATCTGGCACTTGCTGTTGAAATCCGGCAGTGACCACTGAGATCTCGCACTTGCTGTTGAGGTCCGGCAGTGCCCACTGCGATCTGGCACTTGCTGTTGAGGTCCGGCAGTGCCCACTGCGATCTGGCACTTGCTGTTGAAATCCGGTAGTGATCACTGAGATCTGGCACTTGCTGTTGAAATCCGGCAGTGACCACTGAGATCTGGCACTTGCTGTTGAGGTCCGGCAGTGCCCACTGCGATCTGGCACTTGCTGTTGA